ACAAAGAAGCTGAACAATGGACTGACCACCCCAGAGGTCAGACCTCAACATCACTTAATGTATTTGGGATTACGCGGATCGTGAGAAGCAGAAAGCGCGACCGACACCTAAGACTGAACTTTGGATATCTCTGCAGATTTATTTGAAAAACAAACAGCAAGTCTCCTAAAACTAAGGGAAGATGTAATAAAGCCAACGAGCAGACACAATAAATACTGAAAATACACGTACTACATTTAGTTGTTGAGGCTTCTGTGTATTTCCTGTTAATTATAACTTTTCTGCCCTTTATCTGATGCAGAAAAATGAACAACTTCCCTTTTTTAATTACCATTTTAACTGGACGTTATATAAATGAATCATGGTCTTTAAATTTTGCACAGTACTGTACATACATCATTCAGTACCCTCAACTTTTTAGCACAATACAGAGCCCAGAGAATGTATGCATTTTATACCCCTAAGGTAAAGTAGAAAGAGGCTAAAAAATGCGTCTTCGGGTAGCGCTAATATATGTGGCGTCAAGGCAAAATCACGGAGGTTGTGACGGCCTCCTAGCTCATACAATGACCATTCGACTGTCATTTTAATTTAAAAGTTAATTAAGTTATCAGAGTAATACTTGTTTTCTTCATCAGCTATGAATTTTAAAGAAAAAAATGGAGCTGGTGGGGATTGACTGGGGGTGCATGTATTCACAAATAGGAGAGTAAAGAGCAAAGCAGCTGAGTCTAGATCAACTTCATCAGGCATTAGCCAAAAGCAGAACTGATGCCTGTCCACTAGCTTAACAGCACCGACTGCAGAGTGAGTAGAGAGTTCTTCTCAAACCTTTATTTTCTGTGAAATCTGATCAACTCAGCCAAACATTTTGTGTAGATGTTCAGGCCGTCTCCATTTGCTACATTCATGCTTCTGTAATGCTAAAATATATATATTTCACTGTTTTTGGAATCGGATTCCAAAAGTGCAGAGAAGAAAAAGTTTCTTTCTTCACAGTAAGTTTTAGTTTGTTAGCTATGTCAAGCATTGGACATTTCAATTATTCTCCTTATTAATTTGGGATTTTAGAGTTAGAATGAAAATTAATCTACCACCATGCAGACTCACAAACTGCTGTGTTCTGCTTCTCTCTTCTGGGTTTAACATACACTATGGGCCAGGCTTCTTTGAATCAGATTAAGACTAAACCTAGGTTAAAAAGAATTTCCAGTGACGATTCGCCATTAGCATTGCAATTTAGTCCAAGACTAGGTTTAATCTATGTCCAGGAAACTGACCCTATATGCCCAAAGGTTTGTAGATACCTGCTCGCCCAACATTGCTTATAAAACCATTAATAGGGAGTTTGTCCCATCTTTGCTGCAGTAACAGCCTCTACTCTTCTAGAAAGACTTTACATTACATGCTAGAACATTGCTGTGAGGATTTGACTGCATTCAGCCACAAGATCACTCATGAGGTCAGGTACTGATGGTGGATGATCAGTTCTGGATTACAGACTCTGACAGAACCATGGCTGAACTGATAGGGGCTCCACTGTAGGTACTCATTTAATTCATAACATAAAGAACTTAAGCCTTAAGTCACTCAGTGGTAGTATTAGTATCAGTACATGCCTCACATCTTATTATTCAGCGTCTGAACACAATACTTGTAGAACATAGGTGTCATTATATTAGCTTAACAGCTGCTGAGGTGGCAGACTAGTCAACATCTTCATTAGCATTAGCATGCTAGTCTAGTTAGCCTTAGCGTACTTGCAAAGTTAACGCCCACAAAAGACAGTTTGTCAGTCGTTAATAAATACATATACAAATATATAGTAAATACAAACGTTGCTCATGACTTTCAGCCCTGTCGAATTTCACTCCCTTTCTGTGTCACTAATATAACCCAGCTAACTAAAAAGCCTCGCTTGAATAAACAGGCTCAGCTGTCAGATGCTGTGGCTACAGCTAAGTTAACCTACATTCATGACACCCAAGTTAGTTGACACTTTTCAGTCAGAACACTGCTAAGACGTTTAACGTTAGTTAGCACATGAGCTTAAATATGAGATGTGTTGACAGTACTAGGTTAGCTAAGTTACCTACTGAATGAAGGAAGCATCAAGCTCCAAAAACGGTTTTAATACGTTTGTTTGCAGCGATGTGACTACTTTACAAAACCGGGTGCCCTTTTTTATTAACACCTGGACACCATGTGTTTTTTAGCTACTTTGTTTGTAATGTACTGTTTCCTTGTTGAGCCTAATGCAAGAGAAAGAAGCGGGACTTGCAGCTGTTTCCATACCAACATAGCTATATTTCTTCTCTGAACTCGAATTTTTGGAGCCCCTAAGGTGACGTGGTGATTATTTTTAATAAAGCGTGGCCACAAAAATATACTGAGGCCACAAATTAATAGTGAGAAAGACACAACCGTTATCTCGTGGTCTTAATATAGTAATTCGTGCCACGCCTTATTAAAAAAATAATCAACCTGTCACCTTTGGGCTCCGTACGAATTCATTAGTAGCCAATGAAACAGCGATATATCAACGTTTTAGCATTAGCATTGAAATGTTAACAGAACTATGGGAAAATAGCAACAACCTAAACTTTTGACTGTAGGGACCCCAGAAAACGAGGCCAGAGAAGTGAGCTGGCGCTGCTTTGGTCAGTAACGTTAATAAATGCCGTTATAGCCGTTATCGTTACCTGACCTGACACTCACCTGAGCTTTCCCGTTGCTCCTCTTTGTCAGGCGGTCGGTCGTAAAACCCTAAGGTTTCCGCCGCTTCAGTCACGGGAACGGCTTTACGAATCCTTGCCGCATTACTCCACGGACCCGTCGTGTGGCTCCGGTTGTCCTTCTCTAAATCTTTTTCCTCAGCCAACCCGACATTCAGCGAGTCCGCCATCTTCACTTGGCCGCTCGCTTAGCGGACCGCACGCGCTATGTTTTCCCACCCGTATTCATACACGTCCCGCCTTCCTACGCAACGATTGGCTGGTAAAACCCAGACCTCTGTGCTCGGATTGGCTAATTGGTCATACGATACGCGACTGCTTGTGAGTCTGAAATACTAGCCAATCAGAGCGCAGGAAAGCAGGGCTTGTCACAATACGGGTGGGGAAAAAAGAGCGCTACGTCATCACGTCATAGCCCGGGGACATAAACAAACAGAAATGATTGACGTTTATTAATTCTCATTAGCTGACGCGGTTACATCGAATTAATATTAAAATGAAAGCCAAATCGAAGAAAACAAAAAAGACAATGACGCAAGCTAGAATGACGTTCAACGGCCAGATTGTGGAAATAAATAGCTTTGAATTTAACGTGACTACATCAAATTATATCAACGAACGCAGCATCTTTAATTTGTTGCTTATTTTAAAACACAAATTGTGTTTATAGGAGTAAATCAGGACGCACTTACATTATGTCCAAATACATTTAAAATAGGAACATATTTATTCTTCATATGAGTCTTGACCACCAGACGGCGCAACAGGATCACACGTGTTAGCCAATGCCGTACAGAAATCTGGCAATATATGGGTTTCACTTATATGACACAGATTATCACATACGGATTCCCTTATATCCAACTTATATTCACCACATATGGACATATATGTGACATATATGTGACAACTGGCCATTTTCAAATATTTGACATATATTTCAGCCATATACAAACTATATGTATAACACATATTTAACAATATATGATAGAAAACAGCATTCATTTATGGATGGGATATATTGCTCATAAATGCTAACATCTCTTTACATATTATATGAGGTTTTTATGTATCTTCCTTGTTTCTTCCACATACTTCCAAAATAAATGAATTGAAACATTAAATAAATGAAAATATTTTTCCAGACAACCATCTAGCAAACATATATGTAAGCACCATATAATATGAGTATATGGCCAATATTCAATACTTACACATATGAACACAACATATATGTGCATTTATTTTGAAATATATGCCAGACCCAGTATATGTTCATATACGGCCATAAAGCACAAGCACAAAAAAACCGACCATCGAAAACAACAAGAATTGCACTCTCAACTTCTGAATTCTCTTGAGAGCTGCAGTGGAACGGCATAGTGTCTAGTTTCAGCATCTACAAGCATAGAAGCCGAAGTTTGTGAGGTGCTATTCATCTCCTTTTTGAGTCATTTTGGTCTAAAATGAATGCTAAAGCAGTCAGCATTGGAACAGAATGGAATTAGACCCAGAAATGGAATTAAATGCAAATGACTAAAATGGAGCTGAGTAAAATGTAGATTGTTTTTCTCATAATTCTGCTGATGTAAAAGTAATTGAACATACTGATAACAATACGAGGCTAAGTTTAACCTGAAGGGGGAATTTTCTAAATGTCTGCATAATTCAATTGTTAAAGCCATAGTTTGATGTAAAATGGTGCACTGCAGAGAAACTCACTGACTCAGATTTCTTTACAGTGGTGGTGATAGGAACCAGGGTTCAGCATGTCTACAACACAAATATAGCTATTTTATTTATAAAGACCACAACAACCAGTGAGCCCACACAAGTTCTGATTTTTACGTTATGTTGATGATAGTAAGATAGCAATAAATCTGAAAAAAGTACCTTTTCTAAGGGGTCTATTTGGCCTTATAATGCCCTGCATGTACCTCTCCACCATAAATGGCTTTTAGAAAAATATGTTTTAGGCCAAAATCTTATCTAATCTATCCAAACTTTTGTAAAACAATGTCTCTGTCATCAGGCAGTGCATTTATTGTAATAACTTCAGGGGCGTTAAACACTTCTGATGTCTGGTTCCTATCACCACCACTGTGAACAACTTTCCCTCAATAAGTTTCTTTTTCACATCAAGGTACTCTGAATGATTTTGTTTACATCTTGACCATCAATTATACAGAAATTTCATAAAAAAATTACATGGATCTGAGCGAAAGGATTACATGAGGTAGGTAGTATTGCAGAATAAGAAGCAGATGCGTCCTGTAAGCACGTTTTATTGGCACACAAAATGGCAAAGCATACATACAAGACTTTGGATATGACACAAAAACAGCTCTGCTAAATATTATACAAAGAGTGCAGAGTTCTAGTAATACAAGATTGGAACAGAAGACCTCTGAGAACTCTGAGAAGTCTCGTCCATTATGTTGGTCTTGGAAATACAGCAGGGTATAAGTTATTTAGGGGAAAAAAGGTTGAATTGTAAAAACGATTAAAAGACAAAAGGAACAGACCCAAAAATACATGGTTTGGTTGGCTGTGTACAGACCGTTCTGACCATCATCATCATCATCACTGTTAAATTCTTTACTTTTGCACATTTAAGCCTGATGTTACTGGAAATTTTACACAATACACAAAGCCTCTATTTGTGCAGAGCCACCGGATCCCGAATTGATAAGCTTTTTACGCTTAATTAAAGGACGTCTCTTATTTAGGTGCACACTGGTGAGGCCTCTAACAACACTGCCAACTTGAAGTCAATCAAAACAGCTGCCTTTACACATCAGGGTCAGTGGCCTTCAACAGGATCCAACAGAGCGGACGGCGTCTTTATTTACACAGCCACAACCCTTCTGACAGCTTTCCTAAACCGATGAACTGAACCCAGCGTGGCCTCCAACCTGGGAAATGAACAGAAAATGCTTTACAGATTTCAAAACATCATGCAGGAACGTGTTACAGTCCAGTCTGGGAACAGGTTGTTAAAGGGATAAAGAGGTAAGATTTGGACGAATATGCTTTTCAATATGTGCCTTCGATCGGAGAACGAGTCCCAACCTCATTGGTACAGTACAAGGAGATCACAGAATATTCACAACGTCCTTAAAAATAACACAGTTAGACCCAGAAAACAAAATAATTTTTTTTTTTGGTAAAATTACAACTGTAAATTTTACACAATTGCAGAATCTCTTCTCCCCCCTCAAACAAGAGCAAAAGACGAGGAACGTCTTTGTGTCGGAAGAATGCAAGTAACTGAAGAAGAATGAAAAAATGATGATAATAATAAAGCTGAGTGAACCTAAAACGATGTAATTGTGAAGGGGTCAGCCTCAGCGGCTGCTTTTGGAGTTCGGCGGCTCTCCAATGAGAGGACAACCAACAGCACCCGTCTCGTCTGTGATTGGCCGTCGTCCAGCGCCGCTGGAAACTGCAGTCGCCATGGAGATGTATTGCTACCTTGGTGACCGTCTATAGTTTATATGCTGCTGCTTTGGGCTGCTTTAGTCCCCCAAAACATCTCACACATCAGTGCAGGCTTCTCTTTTCATGGCATTCTTTCCTTTTTCAGTTCATTTTTAGAAGTATCCATTGTTTAGTCTGATGAGCTTCTCAATGTGTTGCCCAAAGCAAAGAAATTAAAGTCTCTGGAGAAAATGGACAATGCCATTGAAATCATGACAGGAGAATTACATCATTGGGATAGAAAGTGAGGTCAGAAAAAAACAAGCCTTTTTTCCACCAACTCGGTGCCAGTGCCTAAACTTGAGTTGTTCCACACGTCTCCACAAAATCGGAGCCATTCCAGTCCCATTAACCTGTTGGTCTGGAACTAAGGAATGGTGATCTAAAGGGTCATGACAGCATGAAGTTCATAAGAGAACCTCTATTTTCCACATTTTTATGGAAAATATCTCAAAAAAACATGATTTTTCTGCTAGACAAACCAGCACAGACCAGCAGAACCAGAATTTGTTGTGTTTTGGAAGCCGGCGTGGTGGTCAACCAGCATGACCCAGTTTAACTAGCCCCAGGCCAGCACTAGACAAGGTTAAAAAGCATGAAATTCATTCTGGTCTTAGGGGTTTTAGTAGGGTCATCACAGCTGGAAACACAACCTAATGCTTCACAAGCAAAATGGTCCTCAAAGGAAGTACAAAATAAATATGCTAACATGCTAACCTTGCTAACAAGAAATTAAAGGTATTTATCGTGAAGCAAATTGACAGTTAGCATAATATAAATAAAATCATGCTAGCATGGTTTCATTTGCATCTTGCTAACTGGCAATATTAACTTCATTACTTGTTAGCAATGTTAGCATATAGCACAGAGGTTCACAGATTGATTCATGTAAGTCCAAGTCGAAACCCCAACTCTCTGTGTTTCAGGTACAAACCGAGTCTTGAGTGTTTTGTGGAGAATTTTAGTTAAATCTCATTATTAGCTGGAGGAATTGCAATGTACAAAACTAAACCTGTCAGGTTTGACACAGCTTCAAATAACAAGCCTTCCCTTACAGAAAAAGCACAAAAAGTTTTAGTAAGTTTTTAAAGAATGTGATCTGTAACTTGTTAAAACGTCAGCTAGATTCGCTGACAACTTCAGGTAAACTAGCTATTGTGCTAGTTAGCATGCTTGCTCTCCAAACTGCGCAGTAGCCAACCATTTCAAGTTGTTTTGCCTTTAAATGCTGAATTTACTGCATGTAACATGTCAACCTGTTATTCAGACTAAAGAGTTTTTTACAATGAAAGGCTGTTTACTTTTAGTCGTATCAAACGACACTGCAGTGAGCTGTGGGAGAACGGCATCACAAGGCAGTGGAACAGCCATTCTTAAAAAACTGGTTTCTGAGAAGGTTTCGACATCTTGTTGGTGGAAAAAAGAAAAAAGAGTGAAAGTGTGTGAGAGAGAGAGACAGCGCCACCCTGATGGCGCAGAGGCAGCACTGCATGCAGTGTCTCTTTACTGAGAGGGTTGGGAGGCTGTGCTCTCGGGTTTGCTGTCCTGGCCTGGGGGCGGCTTGCTGGCCCACGGGCTGTTGTTGCCGAGTGCCGGCGAGCTGGTGAAGTCGTCATCGTCGTCGAGGCCGTTGGTGGCGTCATACTGCGTGTTCTCCAGCCGCGTAATCAGACGCTCGTCCTCATCACCAAACTCCCCACCCATCAAGGTGGGCTCACCCACCACCATCACGTCCTGCAAATCACAGCCAGAGATGAACAGGGTTAGCACATGGGTCATGGTTGGAAAAGCCCATCATAATCATCATAAAAGTTCCTTTATAATAGTCATGAGCTAACAACTAAACAAATTTTCATCTTAATATGAAGAGTGATTATTGCAGTTGAAGCTGACATGACATGTACGAAAGACCAGCCAGAAACTAGACTAGGGTTGGGTGGTATGATGGTAATAAAATATACCACAGTATTTAAAAAAGATGCCAGTACTTAAAAATTAAAAAGATGGTATTATGTTGAATTAAAATTGAGATGTCAAATTTTTATTCCATGTCTGGACATAGAATTTTGATATGTAATAAATGTAATGAAAATGTAATAAAAATAAAAGCAACAAAACCTCAAACTACTCAAAAACATAACAACTACAACCCCCTTTCCAAAAAAGTTGCGACGCTGTGCAAAATGTAAATAAAAACAGAATGCAATGACATGCAAATTATTTAAACCCTATATTTAATTGAAAATAGCACAAAGATAACATATAAAATGTTAAAACAAAGAAATGTTTTTTGAAAAATATATGCCCATTTTTTAATTTAATGCCAACAACACGTTTCACCCCCCATACCATCATGGATGCTGGCTTTTTAACTAAACACAAGCTGAAGGACGTGGCATCCATGATTTCCAAAAAGAATTTCAAATTTTTCATTTGTTGGACCACAGGACACCTTTCCACTTCGCCTCTGTCCATTTTAAATGAGCTGAGCCCAAAGAAGGCGGCAGGGTTTCTGGATCCTGTTTACAAATGGTTTCTTTTTAACATGGTAGAGTTTTAACTTGCATTTATGGATGCAGAGACAAACTGTGTTTACAGACAGTGGTTTTCGTAAGTGCTCTTAAACCCATGCAGTGATTTCCACTACAGAAACATGTCTGTTTTTAATGCAGTGCCATCTGAGGGCCTGAAAATCATAGCCACCCAATATTGGTGTTTGGCCTTGTCTCTTGCATACAGAGATCTCTTTGCATTCTCTGCATCTTTTAATTTCAACATTAGATATATTGTCTTTGTATTATTTTCAAATAAATATAGCATTGAAATGATTTGCACATGATTGCTTTCTCTTTTTATTCATGCACAGCATCCCAACTTTTTTTGGAAACGGGGTTGTGAATCAAAACTATAATCTCCACTGCAAAACTAACCATGACTAAATAGAAATGCTGGGAAAAACGTTTAGTTTTCGTTTTTGAGTGTACAAATGAGAGTTTGGCCATCTTTAAGGAAAGCTGGAGCTCATTCTACAGTTGTGCTAATTTTATTCTACCTTTATTAAATACCTACTATCAGCATTCATCATAATACTGAAGACTGAAACTAAACTGAAGCTAATGCTTTTCAGAAAATAAAAACAGCCCAAAAACTACTAATGGACCCTTAAAACTAACCAAAACTAAACTGAAATAAAAAACAAAATAAAAAACTAAATATAAATTAATAGAATTTTAATAAATATATTCATATTTTATGAATATTAATATTAATAAAATATAATTTTAAAAACCATAATAACCATGAGTGAAAAGAAAAGTACAGAACAATCTGTTAAGTTTGGACTGAAAAAAATTCAGCCACTCATTTCGGATGTCTGGTTCTTTGGAAAACTGCAATGATATATTTGCTTCAGTCAAGAACAGCACATTTTCTTCCACATATCCCAGACCGGTGTCTGCAGTAGCAGCACTCCTGAATGGGCGGTTAAACCGTTATAGGCTGGATGGGCAGTCGTATGTAAATGTATTCATGACTGGGGAGTGAAGGGTACATCTTGAACCTTTAACTCCTCACTGACTGCACAGTTTCAGAAAAAAGGATATACAGAAGTGTCCCAGATAGTGTCACAAAATTAAATATCTCTATAGCTCAGCTGTGTTCCTCTCTCTCTCTTTCAGCCTTTCCCTCTCTCCTGTTGCACTGTGGGGCTCGAACGATCAGTTAACTGGGGCGCACGCATCGCTGGCCATGTGTGTCCGTGTGCTGTAGCAAAGGACTCCTGTCTTATTCCTTGCCTCTCTCAGCCTCCTCAAGCAGACATACTTTCTCTCTCTCTCTCTTCTGCCCTCTGACTTTCCTACCATTTTAAAGCATCTTTCAGAACATTCTTGAGTTGTAGTCTTTGTTTTATGCCTCTTGCTCTCAGTTTCTCTTTGTTCTGCCCTTTTTTCATATGTATAAAGGCTCTCATTTAACTTGCTTTTCTCGATTCGAAGCACAGTGGTGGTAGTTTTATTCATTATACAGAAAAAAGTCCTTAACCCTGTGTTACCTCTTGTGTTGGTGATGGTACACTTAGGTGAAATCTCCTTTAACTCATCAAAATGGGTAAAAAGTTTCTCAGTGAGCTCATGCAGAACAGAATTCAGATTGTTAAGCGCTCATTATTGATTTGTTTAATCAGATTACACACCTATAGCCACTGAATACAATTTTTATATGCAACATACAGTTACTTGCAAAAGTTTGGGCACCCCAAACAACATGTTTTTTCATTTTCTAAGTGAAAATAAATTCCTCTACAGAGAAGACATTTCTGCACAATTTAATGCACAATTACTGTTTATCTACTGAATTTAACCTTTAACCAAAAGATGAAGCATAAAATGTGACCTGTGCAAAAGTTATGACATTTTATGTGTTTATGTCTCATTTTTCCCAATACGTTAAACTCATTAAATAAAAAGAAACACAGTTTTGGAGACAAAGGCTATATTTAAGCCTGCTCCCTGTAGACAATGTGTTCTGTTATTTTCAGAGAATTTGACTGTGGCTGTTCAAACTTTTGCATATGACTATATTTGTTTTACAATAAATTAATTTGAACACGTTTTTTGGACGGCAAAAAGTTCTGCAAATTTTACAGCCGACATGAACTCATATTGGCATGGCAACAACCAAGATGACCCATCAACAACTACAAGTGTTTGACCAGTGTCAAAAAGCTTAGTTTGTTGTCACCTGGTGTGCTAGAATCTCCAAACACAACTCAAACTGACGCAAATACGCTTGTAGAGTTGAAGATCCTGAATGAAGTGATTAAACTCTACACTATTTTTTACTTGTACCAAAATAGAAAGCCTACTCAGTGTTACTGTTTGCCCATTTTGTGGGGAGCAATGGTCTCCCTTTTTTTTTAAACAAAGTCATTCTGCCCATTTGTTTCTTTTGCAGCACAAAACAAAATTTAAAGAAATCACATCACATCTGCTGTGCATAGTTTTGATGCGAAACAACAGTGACTGAATATTTCACATTTTTGTCTTGTTTACTTGTGTCATGTTTTGTGTAAAAGCCTGAACAATGAAAGACAAGTGTAAAGTAAGGTCTCCAGTAAATGCATCATCTCTTCTCTAATACTTAGTTACACGTCCTCTTGCCTTAACCTGTGCTTTTTAGCCCACTTTTCCACTAACTGGGTGCATTTTTAGCCACAAGCTACAGTTCAGTACCGTGTTTCAACATTTCACCTGCTATTGCAAACTGAGAACTGGGATTGAGGTCGGGTGATTGTGCTGGTCAGTTAAGTGTCTCAGTGTTCCATGATGTCTGTTGAACTAGTCACATTCAGACACCCTACAGTTGTCATCCTGGTATGTGGGAGTGTCAATGTTGTGTTCTGCTTGCACACAAGCAGAGGATTGATGTTGTTATTAGGGCACAACTGGCCACTCGTTTGTCTCAGCATTAAAGAGTTTAAAAAGCAACCCTAACTTAAAACTCCTAAAACCTATTGGTATTACAGTTGTGTGTAAAAGTTTGAACACCCTAGTCAAATGATATGTTTTGTTGATTTTGTTGTTGATTGAAGTAACACATGCTCTACAGATAGCAAAACCTAAATATGATTTTTTCAGCAAATTGTAGTGCTCAATTTCAATTTACTTGCTGAGTTTAACATATTGGAAAAAATAAAACATAAAATATAAAATGTGCCATGGCCATTTTTTCTCCCTGATATGTAAAATTCAGCAAATAAATGTATCAAAATGTGCAGACATGTGTCCTCTGTAGAGGATTTGTTATATATATATATATATATATATATATATATGCATATATATATATATATATATATATATATGCAGTCAAATGACATGTTTTGTTCATTTTCTACCATGAATTTTATATATATATTCCTTTTTTTTCCTCTCTATCTGTTTGAGAAGCTCTTTTTAGCAGAGCATTGTGTCTCACAATGTCTTCGGAAGCCTCACACACAAACCCCACCGTCACTGTGCTGCCCACCCCTCCTCTCCACTTCTTAATTACAGTCATTCATTAAGGTGGGCTTTTGGACTAAATAACAATATCCACACGCTGATTTGTCAATTGGCATAGCTAATTAAGTAATTAGCAGAGATGTTACCAATATAAAAAAAGAACGCTGCTTGCCAACGAGCCTTGAATTCACCATCTGTTTTAGAACGGCAACTGTCGCCCTCCACTCTGGGTGTGAAACCAGGGGCCAATACTGCACACACACACACACACACACACACACACACAGCGCTGCATCCCACAGGTTCCAGCTGGTGGTCTGACTGAGAGCTCTAATTGCTATCAAATGGGAAGCGTGTTCTGTGTACTCATCTCATTAGCTTTAGCCTTTGGCTAAAGCCACGCACAGCACTCCGGTCTAAAACCTGCTCTGCCTACCTGCCACCCTTCACCATTGATTTATTCACAGCTCTTCTACCCCGAAGCCTAGTGGACTCATATAAACTTTACGCTGGAGAATGAGTCAGAGTCAGTAAAGCGTAGGGCCTCTAATCCCTGTGTATCAAAACAAGCATTTCCATAGTTTACTGTTGTAATGAACAATGGTATTTTCAAATTCAATCATTGAGATGTAAACAAAGTCACTCACAGTGGTTGGGTCTGAAATGGTGCATTGTGGAGAAACATACAGACTTGGATTTCTTTATAATGATGCTGACTGGAACCAGGGGTCA